TAAAATACTAGTGTTTCAACCAAATATTTTATCATAGCATTTGCACGCCCTCTTGTGGTATTAAGAACAGCTTTTCAGCTTATTTTTAACTACTGATGCAACACAATATTTTTAAATTACTTGATAATTTTCATCTTAAATTTCACACAAATCATGATTGAGATATTCTATTAACCATTCTAAAACAGAAACAAAATTAAGATGCCAAATTTAAATAAAATACTGTTCAAATTTTTCAACATTCCTTATGACATGGTTGGCCTTAGCAAAAATGTTTTGTACATTTACTTTTTGCCAGTGTAAACAAATAGGAAAAGCAAGGACAGATATGACTAGTAACTATGAACTGGTAACTAACTCCCTTAAATAATAATCAGACTGGTTCTTCACAAACTTTCCCCCCTAATACAACACAACACAGAAAATAATATTGTTGTGAAGTGGTTTTGTTGGGTCATCTTAAGAAAAAAAAAACCAACAAAAAACTAGCTCTGCACCTGCTAACTTTGGAACCACAAGCAAAACTGCCGCATGTGAGTAAAGCTGAACCCAGGCTAATAACCTGTGTGTCACACTAAGGCCACTGTGTTTTAGCCAGATTAAAACATTGATTCATTGTTATTAATTCAAAAGTATTTTTAAGAGTGGCATGCTGGATACCCCTAGCTAGAAACACACAAGTGTCACTGATGTCTTCAGCAGTGAAGGATTGCATCATCTTAACAGAAGAGTGTTTATTAAATGCTAATAATGTCATGGGTTTGCATGAAACAGCTACAACCGCTGCACTGAAGCATGCTAATAATATACACTAATGACCTGCTCACTTCCCTCGCTCACACTGGAACATACCTCATGCTGTATATTTATTGAAAATAATCTCCTACAACTACACAACTGTGTTAGACTTCACCAGAACAGGGGTAGCCAACCTGCAGCGCACATGCTACAAGTGGCACAGACAGTCTTTGTGTGAGGAAGGAGCAGGAAGCAGTGTAGCAGATAGGGCAGGACCACAAAGTAGAGAAGCTGATTGGGCAGGGAACATAGGGCAGGAAGCAGAAAGCAAAGCAGCAGGATGGAAAATGGAAGTGGATCTGGGTGATACTTGGGGATGGTGAGGGGCTATGACAGTGGTTCCCAACCTTGGAGTAACAACCCCATTTGGGGTCGCAATGATAAAAAATGGGGTTGCAAAGACACTTGACAATGTTCACCCGTTATAATGAAAAAAAAAAAAAATCACACACAAAAAGCAGGAAATGGCAAGTTCCCCTTGCAGGGTGGCAGCGTTTCAGCCTACAAGGGGCTGCTTGGGGCCAGGGGGAGCATGAGGAGGGCAATCAGGCAGTGGATGCCATGTGCGTATGCACGTGCACACATACACATGGCAGCCAGGCAGCATGGAGAGCAGCTCCTTTCAGGTAAGTCTATGGGGGTAGGGAGGAAGGAGAAAAGGAGGAGCAGATTGAGGACTCCACAGTGAGGAAGGGCGTGGGACAGGGGACACTGCCCAGTCAGGTCAGTGCATGGGGTCTGAGGCCAGGGCAGGGATGCC